TTGTTTTTTTTTTTTTTTTGTTTTTAATTTATCAGCTTTAGCCAATAACCATGAAATATAAGCTTTTTATCAACATATGAACAAATATGCATTCGAAATATGGAATGCATTTTTGGGACATTCAATCCAGATTATATATTATTCACAAATTTCCATTTAAAATTGATTTAAAATTTTGTACATACACTAAAATCAGTCATTTGAAACGAAATAATTCTGTTATTAAATAATAATCATTTTTCTACAGTAAAGGTACAATTATTATTTTTTATATATATATATATAATATATAATTACTATAATATTACTTTTTAAAAAAATTTCACCAATAGATATGTTGAATTATTTATATCAATAATAAGAACTTTCATAAATAATTTTTTTTTCCAATTTCCCGCATGGAATGAATTATTTTTATTATAAATTAAAAAATTCCTTTGCAAGAATTTCACATCCTTTTTCTATATATATTATATATAAATTGTAATATAGATTTTATTTTTTTTTTTATATAATTACTCTTATTTATGAATAATTTAATATATAAATTAAATTATTTTGTGAAAATTTGAAAGAAAAAAAAATCTCGATTATCGATAATCTATTTTTAGTATATTATATAAAATAGCACACATAGTTGGCAGTATAATGTTCCATTTCGTAACATTTGCGTCAATTGTGATAAATGAGGTGATAAGTCTGAATAATCGAGAATAGGAAAAAATAGTCGCGAAGAAAAAGGAGCAATGGTTTTGATCCTGAGAAGGATCTTCGTGAAAGCAATCGTTGTAAAGTTTGAATTTAGATCAGAGATATGTCAGAGGCATTTAGATTGATGTTTCAGAATTTGAAATATAGTTTTTATATACAATCACACGAGATTTTTTGAGTACAGTAATCGACATATATATACTCATTTACATATATTAATATCAATTATATTATTTCTTTATTATATACTATATTTTATTCATATACCAAACCTGTAAAAAATATTTATTCAAATCAAAGATCGCGCACATTCTGCAAAAATTTAAAGACTGCGATAGTGATAAAACACATTTCAAGTTATATATATATAATATATATATATATATTTTGCATTTAAACATATATACGGCTCTCATAATATGAAAAACGCTACATATATCTGAGAACACAATGTATATTTATCTCATTCACTTCATTCGATTTACTATTTAGATTTCTGAACTTCACTACCTGTCATTTTTGTTTTTTTTTTAATACCTAGGTACAATCGTAAAACTCACTTTGTCCGAGCGAACTTCCGGAAAATCTTTACAGCTTAAAAAAAAACAGTAGTGCGGCAGATCCAAGCGAATAAGCTCCCTCTCCGAAAAAAAATCGATCTTCTCTCGACTTATAAACGCAACGATTGTATTTACACAACTACATAAAAAAATTTTTCTAAATTTTTCTTTTTTTTTACTAAAAAGTGTTTTCTAAGTGACGCCGCAATTTACACTAAATTTTACTAAAATTTTTTTTTTTAATTTCGTATACGAAAAGTGAAATGGACTTTAAGTTAAATAAACTGTAAATATTATTTTTTTTAGAATATATACTTAATATTATATATGATTTAAATTACTAACAACCTGTTTTTCATTTCTAAAATGAAAATTTTTTTAATTTTTGAAAATTTATATTTGATTGAAATAAATATTTATTTAATACAAGTATAAATATATATACATATATATTGATTTGACAATAAACAGCAATGATAAAATTTTAAAAAAATTACTAAAATCTAAATTGAGACTATTATTTTTAATTTAAAAATTATATAATATATAAAATGCTTTCACAAAGTTCATACGCGAAGTTTTTCATGTACAAACTTTGGACCATTAAATATTTAACTGATTTTCAAATAAAAAATTTCTTCTTTTTTTTCAATTTAAAACAATTTTGCAGAGTAATAGTAAATAAACTGTTTTTTATTGAATAAATATATATTTTTTTTATTTTATCCAAATTAAAAGGATTTATATTGAAATATGTGTTTATTTGATTTTAAAAATAAATTTTTTTGTTATTTATTTTATACTTGATCTTTTTATTGCTTCATTTTGAATATATTTTGATAAATTAATTTTTTTTTTTTTAAATATAATGACTTTTTTTTCAGAGAATATGCTCATATCCACGAGGTCCATTTTTAAGTACATCAACCTAAACCGCAAGTATATTAAATATTTTACTTTAAAACAGATGACTTTCTTTTAAAATTTTCAACTCTTCACACTTTGAAAGGTTGAATTTGTTTAATTCATGTTCTTTACTAATAAAAGTTTCACAGAAATTTCTTTTTAAATGGAACCTGAGATGCTTCAAAAAGCTTTTCAGTTTGTTAATTACCATACTTTTTCTTCTCTTTCTCTCTCTCTCTCTCTCTCTCTTCTTCGAATATATAAGTTTTTTTAAATAAAAAAAAATATATATATAAAAAAAATATTATTAACATATTAATAAAAAGTAGCGAAAATTTAAAAAATAAAACTAATTAAAGAAATTATTTCTTCAATTGATAATTAATTTTTATTGGAAAAATTTTTCAAGTCATATATCAGTGTCAAAGAATATTCTATATAAAAGAAAAGTGTTTGTAATATATCAGCTTCCTCTTCAGTTTATAATATATATAAGGATACATGTTATAAATAAGATTGCGGAAATTTTCTGTCTTTTTGACTTTATTTTTCCACAACGAAAAAAGAAATTCTAATAAAGAATCTTTAGAAATTTAAAAAATAAATAATAATATAGAAATTTTTTTTTCTTTATTTATTGAATTAAAATTCAATTAAGTCCACATTTTTTTCTTTATTATTGTTGAATTAAAATTATTATATTTTTTCACAATATTTATCCGACTCACAACTTTCAAAAAAATTCAATTAAGACCATAATATTTTAATGCAATAATACAATTTATATTTTATGCATAAAATACAAATAACACGAAATAAAATACATTTTATAGCGTCTCATTAATGTTAAATGGATATTATATATAAAATAAAGTAAGACAAATATTTAATTTATTTTGAAAAATGAAACTTTGTTTCAAATTTAAAACAATTTTATGATGTAAATTATTTGAAGCATTATATTTTATTGAAGAGAATTTAATAAAAAAAAAAAAAATAAAACAGAAAATGTATTTTTTCTATTTAAGTACAAAATAATATTTTGATAAATGATTTTATATACTTAGCTTTTTTCGGACATAGTTATTTAGTATAAACATTTTTTAAAATTAAATAACTTTTTTCGTTTCCAAAAATCGAGTTATTTACAAACCAAAATAAATGTTTATTTCATCTTGCGAAAAATGAAACAAATAATCCTACATGCACACGCTTTTGTTATTAATTTATAACATTTTTTTTTTTTTTTTTTAATTTTCATCGAAAAGTACAAACTTCTATATTAGTTAAAACAATATGAAAAAAAAAAAATATTTTTCTACTTAATGAGAGTACATGTTTATTGTTCTTCTCTTTTAGAAACAATAAAATTCACTATATATATAGCATATAATAAAAATGCACAAAAGCCGCTGTTTTTTAATAGCTTCAAAATGTAGAATAAAAAAGAAAATTCCCTTTATTTATTTTTTAATGTCTAATAAATTATGCTTAGTCATTATTTTTATAAGTAAATAAATAAGTAAATAAATAAGTAAATAAATATATTAAAAACACTAAACTGTTTAATTTGCGAAAAATGTGATTTAACGATAAATTTTGTTAAATAAAAAAAAATTCCATTTATCTATTCACTAGAGAGAATGACCTTTAAGAGAGAGAGAGAGAGAGAGAGAGAGAGAGAGAGAGGAATTTGATTAATGTCAAATACGTTAACATCTCACTTTAATCTGATCACTTCAACTAGAAAGTCATTTTCACCTTTTTTCCCCCCTAGTCACGTCTAAAAGTCAGTCAATATTTGTGACTGAATATAATTTTTTTTCCACTATATCCCCCATAAGTCAAATATTTATACAGAAAATTTTTTCCAAAATATCAAATAACAAATTGAAATCACTAAAAAAAATCTTCATCTCTAAATTATTTATAATTACGATAATTATTAAAATTTTAATCTATTAATTTTCTAAACTATGCATAAAAATAGAATTTATTGAGGTATATTAAGAAGAAAAGTTAAAAATTTAATAATGAATTTTGAATTTCTTTAGAATAAATAACAATTTTCTTTATTTTATCAATTTAATTAGTAATTAGTTTTTTTTAATTTTTATTTCATTATTATTTAATTATTTAGTAAAATTTGAATTGAAAAAATTGAAAGTAATTTCCATCCCAGAATAAAATTCAAAATCTACTTCTGTACCTTCTAAATCTGCAATTAGTAAAAATTTTAACGAATTTGAATTAGTAACTCACTTTTTGATTATTTATTAGTGAAATTCAACTAATTAATAGGAAAAAAAAAAATTACTATCGAATTCAACTAATTAATAGTAAAAAAAAAAATTACTATCGAATTCAACTAATTAATAGCAAAGAAAAATTTACTATCGAATTAGTAAATTTACTTTTTGCTTTTGAATTAGTAAAATTTAGCTAATTAATGTTAAAAAAAATTTTACTATTGAATTTATCTAATAAATAGTAAAAAAAAATTTTACTATCGAATTAGTAAACTTACTTTTTGCTTTTGAATTAGTAAAATTTAGCTAATTAATGCTAAAAAAATTTTACTATTGTATTAGTAATGTTACTTTTTGCTTTTGAATTAGTAAAATTTAACTAATTAATGGTAACAAAAAAAAAAAATTTCACTATCAAATTAGTAAAATTTTACTATAATTCAAAAGCAAAAATTGATTCACTGATTAAAATTAGTTAAAAAATTTTAACTAATTCTTTAGTGAATATTTTATATAGAATACTCAAATTTTCCCCATTATAAAACTTTTATATTTGAAATAAAAAATTCTCTATTTTCCAAAAGAAAAATATTTTTTTCAAAAAAAAAAAAAAGTAGAGTTTGTTTTTTAGTGTACTTGAAAGAATTGCTGCGTCCGCACTAAAAAATAAATTTCCGTGCAATATATGTCGATGTTATCGAACATACGTTGCTATTTTTCTATATATATATAAGAGATCGCATATTCAATAGCTATATATATATATATCGTCACATATACTATTGAATTCTGTTCCTCTATATATGCACTTGAGTTAAGAGGCTTGGATCCGCCGGTTTTTTTTTTTTCGTTTGTTTTTTTTTTATATAGAAAAAACTTACAGTCCTCTATTATTATTATTATTATTATTATTATTATTATTATTATTATTATTATTATTATTATAAATGTATAGTCTTTTTCCCTACCGACATTGTAGCAATGTCGTAAGAAGTATAGCCAAAAGTTGATATAGAATGACAAGATCAATTTTAATTGATGGAGATGAGGTTGATGAAAGTGCATAGGCATACGATTGAAAGCAATTGCTGTACGAATCTGGATCCAGACGGGTCACCGAGCAATAGTGTTGCAATGCACAACCTCCATTCAATGCACCGCCACACCCCCATATTTCCTCCACATCCCTCGGCAATGAGACTGTATTTGCAGCATAATATCTATATATCATGTGGGAAGAAAAAAAAAAAACACGAAACTTGAATCCATAATTGGATGATAACTTGACCCTGTTACTTAACGGAAAAAAAAAAAAAAAATTTTTTTGCCTCTTTTTTTTATTATTATTATTAATAAGGGATGCATAAAAAATTGTATAAAAGATTAACGCTCACGTTTACGTAAGTGCAATTAAGAAGAAATTTGCAAAAAAAGAAAGGAATTGCAATTTACCAAATTGGATTTACTAATAACCCTCTTATATAAATGTATAATTATAACCCATATTTTTCAAGTGTGTATTCTTTCTATATTTTTTCCTTTTTTATTGATCTGATACTAAAAAAAAAATATTTCAAAATTAGTTTTCTTCTTAAATTTCAAATTAATAATTCCTATTATTGTATTAAATTTTAAAGGGGACGACTTTATATATAACTAAAGTTCATTTTCCATTGAAATTGGTTAATTGAAAGACGAAGCCATCTGAAACTGATAATGAATTTCCACTTACCTGACGAAAGCGTTGTCATTGGACTGCGTAAATCGATCCGCCAAATCGTGAAGAGTTAAGGCAGATATCTCCTTAAGCTCATAATGCTTGAGCAATGAGTATTCGATATCCCAGTAAGCAGTTCTCACTGAGTTGGCTTGGGGTAAATTCAAATAATACTGATTGTAATCTATTACCTGGGAAAATGGAAAAAAATTACATTTTTTTTTTTAATTCATATTTTTACTTTAAAAAAAATTATCAAAACTAAAATTGCTAATTTTTCCAAATAAATTTTACTTTAAATTTAAATTAGTAAACTCATTTTTTTTTACTTTCAGTAAAAATTAGTAATTAGTAAACTCATTTCTTTTTTTAGTTTTAATTATATACTTTACTAATTCGTTAGTAAAAAATTTTTTTTTTACTTTCAGTAAAAATTAGTAATTAGTAAACTCACTTCTTTTTTTAGTTTTAATTATATAATTTACTAATTCGTTAGTAAAAACTTTTTTTTTTACTTTTAGTAAAAATTAGTAATTAGTAAACTCATTTCTTTTTTTAGTTTTAATTATATACTTTACTAATTCGTTAGTACAAAATTTTTTTTTTTACATTTAAATAAATATAATAATTAAATTTGTAAATATGTGAAACATTTTTTTTTTTCTTTTTAAACAAAAATTTATCAAAAACAGTGTTTTACCTGTCCTGATTGCTTTTCAAACTGGTAAAGCCTAAGTCCAGGATTATTTGGTCCTCCAGCTCGATATGGAGTGATGCTTGGTGCCATCATAATCCACGATACTGGCGAACCTATAAACAGAAAAATTTTAAATTCTAAAAATAATTGTTTTTAACAATTGAACGCAAAAAATAGCGCACTATAGAATAAATTTTTCTTTATTTGCTTTTTTTTTTGAACTCATCAATTTCTTCTTTCAATTTCCTGCTCTGCATACCAATCACTAGAATTCCCTTTTTTTCATATGACCCTTCAATAATTCTTGTCATTCACCCCAAAAAAAAAAAAAAAAATTATTCTCATAGATCACGTTTCTAATAACGTCAATACAGAAATTGAAAATATTTATCAAATTTATAATTACTATAATTTTTTTATTGAAAAAAAAAAAAAAATTTTAATACCTGTATCGCTATAAATAACTCGAAATGTATCCGAATGCCAATGTCCAAAAAATTGTCCACGAATTATATCGGCATATTGTCGAACGAGTTGCAAATATCTTGTATTGTGTTTTTCTTTTAAACCACCAGCACCATGTTCCCTTTCATCGACTCCAGGTGGTGAATGGCCAACGATATATACCTATAAAAAATTATAAGCAATTTTCTCATTTTAAAATTCTTAAATATGTACTTTTGCAAATTAACATTTTTAAATAGCCTCGCAATGTTCTCATAAATCGATTACCTCAATTTTAGAATTTTTAAAAGCATTTCTTGAAACATTAATATCAACCAGATCTTTGAAATAGCATTAAAGCAATTTTGCAGTTCCTAAGAGGTTTTTGAGGTTTCACATTTCTCTCTTTCTATATATATATATAGAGAGAGAGAGAAAGAACATTGACTTTAAATTCTATCCCTTTGAAACTCGATTTCACATTTATGACCATCAATATATAAAAGTGTGAACCAAAGGGTTAATACAACAATTTATTTCTTTAAAAAAATGTATATTTCTTTTTAAAATTAATAAAAATTTCACAAGTTTGTATTTTTTTGGTATCACTTTTTTTTTTTTTTTTTTGATGAGCTTTTTATGAAGTTTAATTAAAAGTTTATCAAGGTTCTTAAAGAGAATTTTAAAAAGGATATTTCGAGAAACATCTGATATGGCTTTGAAACTATATATATATACATACTCTTTGTGTAAAATGTAAATTTATAAAGGGCATATTTAATCATTCTATTTAACCTAAATCTCCTTCTATTAGTAATATTTAGTAGATATAATTTCTTCTAAACGTTACGATTGTACTTTTTTTTTTAAATAAAAAAAACGTTTACAAAATTTCCTCCTATGAAAATTTAATTAATCCTCTTAATTTCTTCTTTTTAATTAAAAAAAAAAATCTACACGAATTTTAATTAAACTTTTTTTTAATTAATTATAATTAATATTTGATATTTTTCTAGAAAATTTAACATTATTGAACAGATGACGTGACTAATTCACAATGGTAGTTTAAGCTCTTTAGAGTTTTGATATAAAAATTGAGTGACAAAAAGCCAACCTGATTTATACTCACTATATGTATATATATTTATGTATATATATATATATGGTGAGTTTAATCATCGAGAATAATCACATATACTGTATTTGGGGAAAAGCTATTACTCTCGCGGGGAATATATGTGGTGACACTGTCATCACTACAATTTAATATGGGAAATATATATATATATATATGTGTAGGTATAGCAACTTTGATATGCTCATTTGTATGTCATTAAGCTGCACCGACACGCTCCATATGCTCAGGCTTTACAATTCAAATTATTTTGTTCAGATTCGATTGCATTGATACCTCATATTTGTCATTTGAGGCATAAATTGGAGAAAATTTAATTGAGAATAATGGATATTCAAAATTTGCGAGCAAAAAAGCAACCGTATATATTTTTCGTCTATGGTTTACAATAACAATTACTATAATTAATATATGAAAATTAATTTAATCATATAGTTAATAAATTATTATTATATTTATTATAAATATAAATATTATTATATTTTTTACAAAAAAAAAAAAATTTATATATATTTGATTCACATATATATATGGATTACTATATATATTATCAAATAAATATTTACCAAATAATTTTTGAAACCAAATAATTAAATTAAATTAACCAATAATTTCTATATTTAAAACAAATACCATCTCAAATAATAATTATTTGATACAAAATAAATATTTATTTAATAATTGTCAAGTAAACGATTATTTTGAATTAAATAAATATACTATTATTATATTTATATTATACGTACCTATATATATATATATATATATATATATATATATATACTCGCAGAGAAATTTGTTACTTGCGTTTATTTGAAAAAAATAAAATTTATTTGAAGCAAATAAAAATATATTTGTCTCAAAGTCTAATAAATTATTTCTTTTAAATATAGAAAAAAAATTTGATTTATCACAAATCCAATTTTATTTAACGGAAATAAAATTTTTATTTAACTCAAATAAAATTTCTTTATAAAAAAAAATAAAATTTCTTTGAAACAAATAAATAATTATTTAATAGACAAATAAATTTTTTCTCTGAATGTTGTTATTATTATAAATATTTTAATATATATTTGGACCTATAGATTTTATATATTTAAATTAATATAGACGTAAAATTCTACTCTTTTTTTTCGGAGAGCTTTTAAAAAGAAAAAAAAAAGTAAAATAATTACGATTTTGCCGGAGAAAGTTCGTTAGTGCAGTTTTCCTAGGATGAGGGGCATTGAAAAACATTTCGTCGTGTTCGCGATAGGATAAAGTCGTAATTGATGTTCGATTTGTGCAAAAATTCAAATTTCACAACATCGAGGAAAGTGAGAATTACCCGAGTGATTCAGAGAAAAAAAGTACTTTTTTTTTTTTTTTTTTTTTGTTCACATGAGACAACAATGAGATTGCTGATTGGTTGTTTTTAATGCTGACAAAACACGTTCAAACGATCGAGCAGTGATTATTTGTGATTACCATTATATTTTTTTACTCTCTCGTCTCTAATTTTGCAATATCAGATCTCACTTGTTTATAAGAATAAAACTGACGTGTCTATTTAGCGTACTACTAATTTACATTAGTAAGAATTTTTTTTACTAATTTTTAGTAAAATATTACTATTTGATTTAGTAGTTTTTTATTTTTTGACTAAAATTTTAGTCAAGTGACTAAAAAATTAGTGAAAATTCTTACGCTAATTTAAATTAGTAGCTCACTTTTTACTAATTCAAATTTAGAGAGAAGTTTTAAATAAAAAGGACTATTTGCTTTTGTTTGTAAACATAGAATAGTATTGACGAATACAATGTTTTTAAACAAGATGAAGCACGAGGTATAAAATTTTATTTTCAGTATTTTTATTACATTATATTAATTTTTATTTTTATTATAGTAAAATAAAAAAAAAATTTTTAATGCGTCACATTTAAAATTAATTAAAAATCAAAATGACGCCAATTTTATCACGTGGTCACACGAAATTCAGTCACTTTTATTTAATTCAAAATGGTGGGGATAAATTTTTTTTCAAAATATGGGTGATTCTCCGTGTAGCGCACGATTTGGTGTCTGAAACTTTAAAAAAATTTTTTTATCGAAATGATAAATATCAATATGTATTTTTGAAGATAAAGTGTCAAGAAATAAATATCCATGGTGGGCCGGACTAATTGTTTATAATTTTTTAATTTTTTAAACAAATTTAAAAAAAAATTTTTTTGCTTTTTGAATTCTATAAAATAGTTGAAATTTTATTTAAAATGTTAATGAAAATTTTTGGGGTAATTCACGAAAATATATATAGCGCGAAAGACAATTAAAAATTTTGATTTCGGTAATTTACGGAATTTTTTTTTTTACGCGAAAGATTTAATGTAATTTAACAAAATATTAATTTTTCTTAGTTTTTCAATGAATTTAAAAAAAATTTATAATCGTACATTTATCTCAGGTTATAAATAATGCAATTTTTTCAGATTACTAATAATGAATTTTTTTTCTTTTCAGGTTATACTAATGAATTTTTTTCTTTTCAGGTTCTCTGGTAGAAAAAATTCATAGCGCTACCTAACACTGTCTAGCAGTGCTAGCTACCGCTATGATTTTTTTCTACCATGGTTTTACTAATAAATGTTTTTTCTGTTTCAGGTTATTAATAATGAATTTTTTTCTTTTCAGGTTTTACTAATAAATGTTTTTTCTGTTTCAGGTTTTAATAATAAATGTTTTTTATGTTGAAGGTTTTAATAATGAATTTTTTTCTGTTTCAGGTTCTCTGCTAGAAAAAATTCATAGCGCTACGTAACACTGTCTAGTAGTGCTAGCTAGCGCTATGATTTTTTTCTACCATGGTATTACTAATAAATGTTTTTTCTGTTTCAGGTTTTAATAATAAATGCTTTTTCTGTTTCAGGTTTTACTAATGAATTTTTTTCTTTTCAGGTTTTACTAATGAATATTTTCTCTGTTTCAGGTTTTATTAATGAATGTTTTTTCATGTTTGAACAAACTGTGCAATGGGGAAGCACGTTAAAGAACGCATCTAATGTTCCACCTCCTGGGTGATGTGGAAGAGAACTTATTTATTTTTTTGAATTTTAAAAAACTAATATCTGATTCGTTAGCGAAGGGGTTTATACACAAAAATAAATTAAATTTTCATAATTTCAAAAATATCTATTTTAATGCATAAAAATATATTAAATTTTCATAATTACAAAAATATCTATTTTAATGCATAAAAATATATTAAATTTTCATAATTTCAAAAATATGTATTTTAATACATAAAAATATCAAAAGTTTTTATAACGTTAAATGTAAAATAAAAATATTGAAAAAATATTTCTGAATGATGAAGCCATCACACGTAGAATCATATCATCTTTTTTTGGATATTTTCAATAGTCACGCTTTTTTTCTTCTTTTTTTTATTTTTAATTTTATAAAATTTTAATTTTTAACCCAGTTACAAATATATGATAACTGAAAATGAATTCTGTTTTATAAATTGTGTAGATATGAAAATGGTAAAAATATATGATGAATTCATTTTTAAAATTAATTAAACCTGTCAAGTTACAATGTGAGTGTAATTTTTCGTTAAAAAAAAGAGACCAATTTCATTATATAGAATTGTATAATTAATTTATTTTTGTATTTTATAAATCAAACTAAATAAAAATTATAAATAAATAATTATATTATTATGTCTGACTAAAAGTGTCTATTACTACTGATACTGTAGCGATAATTATTTAATTTATTTTGTCCACCTTTATAGATGTGTTTTTCTACTTATTCAAATTTTTATGTTTCGTCTTGACTAAAATCTTCTTTTACTACACTACTAATTTCAAAATTCAAAATGGCGGATTCAATATGGCGTTCAAAATTTTAAAAAGTTATTAAATTTTTTTTAAACCTTGGTATCTAGGGGTTTTTTGGTTATCGCTGATGACGAATTCAAAATGGCGGATATAAAATAAAAAATTAATAACTTTTAAAAAATTTGATCGCCATATTGGATCCGCCAATTTGAATTTTGAAAATCTGACATTAGATTAATAATCAGTGACCCCGAAAACCCCCAGATAACAAGTTTTATAAAATATTAATAATTTTTAAAAGATATCTTGTCACTTTTCATTTAGGGGTTGTTTTCAACCCTAAAAACTACAAACGACTTGATCTAGCAAAACGGTCAGACACGGGTATTTTTTTTTTTTGGGTCCTAGTTTTCGAAAATGTTAAATTTTTTTGTGGGTCAAAAATTGTTTTCGGACGGTGTTATAGTATAACACATATTATTCTCTCTCAAATTTAATGGAAATATATAAAATATTATAAAAATATTTTTCTATATTAATTAAAAAATTACTTTCATTCTAGAAATATTTGACCCACCACATAAATGGTTTCCCTCTTTCAATATATACTATAAACTGGTCCTATATATATATATATATATATATATAATTTAATCTATACGATCAGCTCAATAGAATTACCTCATAATCTCGGGTATAATCCATTGTCAACCACTTATTTACTCGAAAAAGATATAACTTTCCTACTATATATATATATAATCCAAAAGATTCCGTAGAAATAAAATTATAAGCAATCGATAAAAAAAAAGAAATTGTGCCACAAATTCATCATATAAGGTTTCATATATGTCTACAATATATACTTACGGTTTCTTTTTTCTTTCGGGCCGCTTCAAGAATAGATTGAAACCATTCCCATTGGCCAAGGGGGTCACTAGAATTGTCAGTAGCAGCAGTGTTGGTAGTTGAACGTTGTGGTACACGATTATCGATCACTGAACCAACATTCAACCATAAATTTGTATTGAGAAAAATGAGCCGGTAATTCTCCTTCCATTGCTCGATCGTGTAGAATCCAGCTGAAACAAATTTAGAGAGGGGGGGGAGGGTGAGATCATAAATTTAACATTTGGCTCGCGCAGGATTATACAGAAATACACTTCTCGCGTTTATGGCTCTATATGTATATATATAATTCGTTTGGCGGTGAATTCAAAACGAACTGAATGTAATTAGGTTAAATTTAATAATGTAGTTTAAAATTTAATATTTAAAAATAACAATTATTGTAATTCTAATAATAAATCTAATATTGATGTAAATTATATAAAAATATTTTTATAAAAATTAAAAATGCGCTGAAGTATATAAAAATTTTGTTTTTAATAATTCTTTTTACTTTTTTTTGGTACTTTTATTTTTAGAAATATTTGGTCTGACTAAATCATTATTTTACTACTAATTAATAAATAAATTAACTTTAAAGTTGCAGAAAATTGTAACGATTTGTCTGACTAAAACAGAATTTTACTACTGTAATAAAAAATAATAAATATAGTAACTCCAAAATTGCAGAAAATTCTAGACTAAAACGGTATTTTACTACTGAAATCAAAATAAATAATTACTTATTTCAAAATTTACAGATTTTGTAATACCTTGTCTGACTGAAACGGGTTTTTACTACTGCAAATGGAATTAATAAATAAAGGAAATGCAAAGTTGCAGAAAATTGTTACAATTTGTTTGACTAAAAAAGAATTTTAGTACTGTAATAAAAAATAATAAATATAGTAACTCCAAAATTGCAGAAAATTCTATTTGTCTGACTAAAACGGTATTTTACTACTGAAGTTTAAACTTGTCACTGTTTTAGTCAGACAAAAAGTGTTTTACTACTGAAATTTAAATAAAAATAAAATACTTCGAATTTGTCACTTTTTGTCTGACTAAAACGATTTTTTACTACTAAAATAAAAATTATAATAGTAAAAAAATTGTAGAAAATTAAAAATTTATGTCTAAAACTGTATTTTACTACTGAAATCAAAATTAAGAATAAATAATACAAAAATTGTAGGAATTAAAGAAAAATTCTGTGAAATAAAAATTTTGCACGCAAAACAAAAAACTTCATCTGGAACAGCAATACATTTCTCTGGAATAGCGATATATTTTTCTAGAATAGCGAAAACTTTTGCTATTTTAGTAAAACCTATTGCTATTCTAGGTGAAAATTTTTTTGCCTATGATAAATAAAAATTTTCAGTTAGATAAAAAAAAAAATTGTTTACAAAAAAATTCTATTAAATGATAATTCAAAAAATAAAAATTCATTTAAAAAATAATTTTATAGCAAATAAAATTGTTGAAAATGGAAATTTAATGATTTTTTATAGGACTCAAATTGTTTACTAAATTTAATTAATTAAAAGTTTTTTTAATATAAAAGAGGGCCAACAAAAATTTTGTTATTTTTTATTTTACATAATTTTTTAGCAAAATAATTTAAAAGAAAATATAATTTTTTTTCCGCCTTTTAATATCAACCAAATATATCTAATTATATATTGATTTGAAACACCATATTACTAATACATTTGAACAAGAAGTGTATATATATATATACATATATATGTACATATGATGTTCATTCACTACCATTTCTGCTTGCAGCACTGCGCAGCCATTACCTCTAATTACATTAAATTGCTTCGCTCTATCGCTCAAAGTGCATTTGACTTAGCTTTGAAGCCTAAATTACGATATGCATATCGTGTCGAATGTAATATAAAAATAAAATCCCCCCCCCCCAGCGTTTATATATATAAAATATATATAATTTTTGCTCGCGCAATTTGTGTTAAAAAGAAAAATTATTATTATTTTTATTATCATACTAACTATTCTTGAAGGTACTGAGTGCCTCTTGTGGTAGCCAATGTTTCCAAAGATTTGCAAGCTGTGTAAAATTCAAACCAAGATCTTCGTGTCCTAGAACTGGAAACACAAATTGCTCAGTGAAAGTGTGAGACAGAAGATCCGTCAAATTCTTGAGACTTTGTAAGCGCAATTCCTCGCTCATTCCCGCTCCATGCGATAAAGCGTCTCTGTAACAATGAAATGAAAGAAAATTAACTTATACACTTGTTGAATTGCGTGATTCAATTATTATTAATTTATTTTCCATAATTATTTTTCTATTTTCTTATTTTTTGTTCTCGTTTTTTATTTACGTAAATATAATTATCGAAAAAATTTTTAAATCATTTTTTTTCCATACAAAAAAAAATCATTTTCATAAAAAATGATTTAATAAAAAAAAAAAACAACAACAACGAAAAGAAAGGTAAATACAATGTTTTTTTCAGTGGTCAGAAATTAAAATTTATATTTTTTTCCACATTGTATATATATAGAAATATCAGCTTTTAAACCAATATATATATATAGTGCAGGCTTTTAAACTGAAGAGAATTTAAACATCAACATTCGAGATTTTGGTAAAATCGATAAATATTTTTGTGTATTTAAAACCTTCCAAAAGGTTGGATAATAAAAGAGAAAAAATGCGCCAGTTTTTTTTTTTTTTTTTGTTATTCACTTCAATATTATTTATAGAAAAAAAAATGTTTCTCTATAAAATCTCTTTTTACAATTTAGTAAATAATAAAAGAAACATTTTATTTATTTATTTATTTCTTGATTTATTTATTAAATAATTTTTCTTTCAGTACAAATTTTTTTTGAGTTTAATTCTTAATTTTGAGAAAATAAAATAACGAAAAATTTTGTAAAGATGGAAAATAAAATAAAAAAAAGAAAAAAAATTTATGAAAAATAAAATAAAAAAAAGAAAAAAAAATTTATGAAAAATAATGATACCGATTGCGAAACCATGACATGCATTGCAAGCAGATTCGTTTTGATTCTCAATGATTGCTGGATTACACTTACCCTGTCCACAGAACAAATTCGATTCCTTTTCCGTGCTTCTCTCTCATAGCTTGCGCTGCAGATTCTATCAGTGCCCAAGGCGAATCACAACCATAGCTACCAAATGTGCCAGCTAACTTTCTATATAACCGCGTGTGCTCGCTATCCATATTATTTCTCATCTTCCAACAACCTGGAAAAAAAAGAAATAAAGAAAATTACATCCAAAAAAATAAAAAATAAATAAATGCAGGAAAAAATAAAATTATGTGATATATGTTACTCTATTAAGAATTTCTTTTCATCTCTAAAATTTGAATTAGTTGGAATTCAAATCAGTAGAAATTTTCACTAATTTTTAGTAAAATATATTATTACTATTTGCTTTGGTAATATTTTTTTATTAGAGTTTTAGTAAAACAAAAATGACTATAAAATAAAAATTATTTTTACTAATTTTTAGTAAAATATGACTAATTGACTAAATAATATTTTTTTACTACAGTTATTTAGTGAAAATGACTAAAAATTAATAGAAATTTCCACTATAAATCTAGTAAAATATAACTATTTGATTTGGTAATATTTTTTTTACTGAAGTTTTAGTAAAAAAGCACTAAAAAGTAGAAGAAACTTTCACTAATTTTTAGTAAAATATATTATTACTATTTGAGTTGGTAATATTTTTTTATTAGAGTTGTAGTAAAAAAAAATGACTAAAAAATAAAATTATTTTTACTAATTTTTAGTAAAATATGACTATAATTGATTTAATAATATTTTTTTACTACAGTTATTTAGAGAAAATGACTAACAATTAAAAGAAATTTACACTATAACTCTAGTAAAATATAACTATTTGATTTGGTAATATTTTTTTTACTGGAATTTTAGTAAAAAAAAACACTAAAAAGTAGAAAAAACTTTTACTAATTTTTGCTAAAATATTACTATTTGATTCAGTAATATTTTTTTTTACAACAGTTATAGTGAAAATAACTAAAAATTAATAGAAATTTTTACTAATTTTTAGTAAAATATAAATATTTCATTTAGCAATATTTTTTTACTAAAGTTTTAGTGAAAAATAACTAAAAATTAATTGAAATTTTCACTAATTTTTAGTAAAATATTTCTATTTGGTTTAGTAAAATTTTTTTCATTTCTTTTTTTTCTTTTTTATTTGTCTTGGCAAAAACTAAAAATTAATAGAAATTTTCACTATAACTCTAGTAAAATATAACTATTTGATTTGGTAATATTTTTTTTACTGGAGTTTTAGTAAAAAAAGCACTAAAAAGTAGAAGAAACTTTCATTAATTTTTGCTAATTACTCTTTGATTCAGTAATATTTTTTTACTACAGATATATAGTAAAAATGACTAAAAATTAATAGAAATTTTCACTATAAATCTAGTAAAATATAACTAATTGATTTGGTAATATTTTTTTTACTGGAATTTTAGTAAAAAAAGCACTAAAAAGTAGAAAAAACTTTCATTAATTTTTGCTAAAATATTACTATTTGATTCAGTAATATTTTTTTTCACAACAATTATAGTGAAAATAACTAAAAATTAATAGAAATTTTTACTAATTTTTAGTAAAATATAAATATTTCATTTAGCAATATTTTTTTACTAAAGTTTTAGTGAAAAATAACTAAAAATTAATTGAAATTTTCACTAATTTTTAGTAAAATATTACTATTTGGTTTAGTAAAAGTTTTTTCATTTCTTTTTTTTCTTTTTTATTTGTCTTGGCAAAAACTAAAAATTAATAGAAATTTTCACTATAACTCTAGTAAAATATAACTATTTGATTTGGTAATATTTTTTTTACTGGAGTTTTAGTAAAAAAAGCACTAAAAAGTAGAAGAAACTTTCATTAATTTTTGCTAATTACTCTTTGATTCAGTAATATTTTTTTACTACAGATATATAGTAAAAATGACTAAAAATTAATAGAAATTTTCACTATAAATCTAGTAAAATATAACTAATTGATTTGGTAATATTTTTTTTACTGGAATTTTAGTAAAAAAAAACACTAAAAAGTAGAAGAAACTTTTACTAATTTTTGCTAAAATATTACTATTTGATTCAGTAATATTTTTTTTTACAACAGTTATAGTGAAAATAACTAAAAATTAATAGATATTTTCACTAATTTTTAGTAAAATATAAATATATTTCATTTAGCAATTTTTTTTACTAAAGTTTTAGTGAAAAATAACTAAAACTTAATTGAAATTTTCACTAATTTTTAGTAAAATATTACTATTTGGTTTAGTAAAAGTTTTTTCATTTCTTTTTTAGTTATCTTGGCAAAAACAAAAAATGTCCCTTTCGTACAATAAGTATAGAAAGAATAATAAAAAAAATATATCAAAAAAATTAGTAAAATTTACTAAAATTTTAATGAAAAATGACTAAAAATTAATAGAAATTTTCACTAATTAGAAAACGAATTATAATTCAAAATCAGAAAGTAAAATTCTTGTTTTCTTTCCAGAAACCATAGGATCATTTATTTTTTTAAAATACAATTTTTTTTTTTGAAAATTTATTATAGTTTTATTTTTTTAATATATATATATAGATCATGCAGTACAATATTTTGGATTTTATTGGTAAAGTAAATTTTCTTTTATATGCGTAAACATTAATCATAAAATATAAAAAATGTCGTTCGAAAAAAAAAACGTTAAATCACTTCTTGTTCGAAACGTATATATATATATATATAGTATATTCCTATAGTTGAAAGAGCGAAAACAACTGAAAAGCGAGCTTGTCAAACACAAAGCTTACAATTAAAGGAACAGTGAGCAAAACAGGTTTGAAAAAAGTGAATGACAAAATTGTTGTATTTGAACAAACAAAATTTATTTTTCTTTTTTTCTATTGATTAATAATTAAATTTAAAAATTAAATAGAAAATTTTATTATATTTCTTTGTTTTAATTAAATTTGAAAAGGTATACTATTTTTAGATAAATAGTAAAAAAAAAATAATAAATAAAAATTAAAATAAATAAATAATATATTAAAAATGTCAAATATCTTTGGCGAAAAAAAAAAAAATGTTATTGGACAATTTTGCAAAAAATTACCTTCTATATTTGAGAACATTGGTATAAATTCCATAGAAATAAGAATAATATTAAAGTTTCTCACAATAACAGATAACTCAATATCTGGGCACGTCTTATCTCTTCATATCCTTTACGTGCCTTGAAAACGTCGATAAACTCATAAAAAGCATAAGGTCATAAATGAAATTGACCAATATGAAACAGTTTTATTGGACCAATTGAGAAGAAGTTATCATTTGAAACTTCAATATAAAAAAAAAGGTAATAAGTAAATAAATGTCTTCTTTATACATTCTATTGTTATAGAAATATATATATATTTTTTATAATTGAAATATAATTATAATGTCTCTTTTTCTTATTACGAATAAAGGAGCTTTTATCTTATTATACATTTATTTATAAAAGAGAGATACTTACTGTTGTCTGAATTGCCCTGAAGGGAATATTTGGGATCATAGTGAATATCGCTAATATGCCAAAAGTATCCTGTAACACAAGATAACAAATACTTATTGAATAATTGAACAGGAATTTATAAAAATAGCGTTGTTATTTAAGAGAGATTATTAAATTTTTTCTTAATTCTATATCATTAAAAATTTTCTAAATTAAATATTTAATTTTATTTTCATTTAACAAATTGACGGAAAATTAAATTAAATTTATTGAAATTTATTTATTTATTTAAATTTAAAATAAAATAATGTTTTTGAATTTTTCTTTGTTAATTGAATTTTTATTTTTATATTGAATATTAAATAATTTAATGATTTGTGTTTTTTTTTCTCTGGCTTACCTATTTCGCCTTGCACTGTGCACAACCATGATAACAATAGCACATAATCACGAATCATCTTCTCAGGATTTAACCTGAAAAAAAGGAAGTTTCAAAATTATTAAATTGTCATTTTCCAGAAAATAATTTAAAAATATGAATATTTATTTATTTAAATTTATAAATTTATTTATTTATTTACGGGACTTCAAAAGTAAAGTGTTTAAAGTAAAGTTTATTATTAATAAATTTAATAATAATTTCAAAAGTAAAATATATAATATTAATAAATTTTCGCAAAATTCGTAAAATCATAAACACAATTTACATTTGTTATACCTTTTTTTGTTTTTTATACTACCAAACTTTATTATGAATAAATTTTACCTATTAATTTAGAAAAAGGTTTTTATTTTTTATACAGATTAAACTAAACTTCCATTTATTAAATAAATCCCGAGAATTAAAAAAAAATTGTTAAAAATTGAAAAAATTGTTATAAAAAGATTTTCGAAAACTTTTATTAATTTTTTAAAAGATTTACATATAGAAGTTATATATTTTTTTTTTTTGTTGAATTTCAAATTATTCGTTTTCAATATTTCAAAATCTCCATTAGTTCATTTTCAGTGATTTTTCAATTTCGATATTTAAAATCGAGAATAGAAACAAAAAGATTTAGATTACTTCTTGAAAGTATAAAATTTAGAAAATTTTGTTATATCAATGAGTATAAATTGAAGTCAAATTAAAAATATAGGGACAGGAAAAATATGTTATAGAAAAAAAAAATAATAATGTCAGGCCAAAATGTTTTACTGCAAAAAAAAAAAAATATAGTTACATAGAGAGACGCTATTTAATTCGGGGTAGAATTAACCCTTCTGTCGCCCCGAGCGACACTTGCCACCCATCTTAATAATATATATCCCTTTTGTGACAATATTGAGCTCGAAAAAACAAGGAAAGAGATGCAAAAGGTTTGTGTAATTAAAAACAGTAAAAATTTATCTCTATTTTTATTTTGGATTATATAATATAAATCAGTTGTTTTTATGTTTACAAAAAAAAAATATTTTACGGAAAAAATTTACAATACATTATTTACCTTTTTTATTGTTTCAATGTTTATTTATTAATTTAATGTAATTATTCTATTTTTATCAATACTATTCTACTGTTTTGATATCAATATATTACAATACAAATATTAGTATTTTTCTTTTATAAGAAATCTATATATTTATTTTTTATTAATTAAATACAGTGAAAGAGAGATTGTTGCGATATATATATGTATATAACAAACATTATTTCAAATTAGGGTCAAGTTTTTATTAATCATTGTATCTGTATATTCGTGAGTTTGTTCATTCAGTATTAATAATGTCAAAATAATTATATTCTAAGCTATATAATTACATTATCGTGTACAAATTTCAAATAAAGGAAATAGTGTTTGCATATTAATTAATTGTACTTCTCGCAACTTTATTTGAATAAATACTCGTTAATTATATACTGTTTTATAATTAATGGAAAAATATTTACATTGAAGAACGTTAATAGTGAGTTGAGGTCAGAAATAGAGAAATTTTTTTGTTTGAAAAATAAAATTAAACATTCTTTTTTTCCGGGAAAATTTTTGTTCGGGAAAGGAAAATAATATATTTTAATTAGAATATTCGGAAATAATAGAAAACAAATTGTAAATTTAATTTTTGAACAGAATTTTCTTCTCATTTTGAGATTTTTGTGCAATTATAGAAATTTAATATTTCTAATTATATAATGTATACTGAAAATTTATTTCAGATGTTGTATTACTATTTTATTGCGAAATATATCTTAATTAATTATATAATATAATTAAAATATGGTATTGTAATTAAAACATGGTGATTTCAATTATTATTGGGTTTCAAATAATTATATTAAATTTCAAAATTAATTATGTGAAATAAATATAATCCCTATTTGTGTTTGAATTATTAAATAAAATTCTATTTATATTTTATTATAAAATCAGTTTTATTTTTATACTGATAATTAGCGAGATATTTTCTGATTGTAACAAACCGGTGGCAATTAATAATTTTCAGATAAAAAAAAATTTGTTTTTAATAAATTTATTTTTAACATATAAAAAATACGAATATAAATGTAAGTTTAATTATAATGCTTTGTCTGATTAAAACGGTGTTTTACTACTGAAATCACAATTAATGAAAAATTACACAAAACTGTTTAAGAATTTTTAACCATTTGTCTGACTAAAACAATATTTAAATACTGAAAACGTAATGAACAAAAATATAATAACTCCAAAATTGTAGCGATTTGTCTGACGAAAACAGTATTTTACTACTGAAATAAAAATTTATAATTAGCTACTCGAAACATTTTAGGAAATTGTATGTCTGACTAAAACATTATTTTACTACTGCAAATGGAATTAATAAATAAAGTAACTGCAAAGTTGCAAAAAATTGTTACAATTTGTCTGACTAAAACAGTATTTTACTACTGTAATAAAAAATAATAAATATAGTAACTCCAAAATTGCAGAAAATTCTATTTGTCTGACTAAAACGGTATTTTACTACTGAAATCAAAATAAATAATTGCTTATTTCAAAATTTATAGATTTTGAAATAATTGCTTATTTCAAAATTTATAGATTTTGTAATTTCTTGTCTGACTGAAACGGATTTTTGCTACTGCAAATGGAATTAATAAATAAAGTAACTGCAAAGTTGCAGAAAATTGTTACAATTTGTCTAGCTTTCTGACTAAAACGGTATTTTACTACTGAAATCAAAATAAATAATTGCTTATATCAAAATTTATAGATTTTGTAATACCTTGTCTGACTGAAACGGGTTTTTACTACTGAAATAAAATAAAATAAAATTGATATTAAATTTAAAATTGTTGAAATTAAAATATTTTCTTTGACTAAAACAGTGTTTTACTACTGAAATTAAAATTAATTATTAGTTACTTCAATTTTGTTATGTCTGATTAAAACGGTTTTCACTACTGAAATAAAATAAAATTAATAGAAAATTCAAAATTGTAAGAATTGAGACGTTTTCTCAAACTGCAAACAATTAGTAAAATTTAACTAATTCGAAAGTAAAAAAATGAGTCATTAATTCAAATTAGTTAAAAAATTTTTACTAAAATTCAGAGAGTTTATTAAAAAAAAAAAAATCCGCACTTTGAAAATTGAAAATAAAATAATTCTTTTTTTTTTGGATAATTATATATAATTATTTCAGGAAGTATATTTTAATGTCTTTATTATAAGAAATTTTACAATATCGACAGAATTTACAAACATTCTATTGAGTCGGAAATTCCAAAATAAATACCAAAATTGAAGCAACCAAATATATATCATCTTTTAAGGATTGAACAAGACGTCAGGTGAATCTATAATACCAGTAGATGAGATCGTTCTCTCGGGAATGTTATTTCGGTTATTCTCTACCAATTTAGAGGTGGGGGGAAAGGGGGGTAGGCATTCTCGTTAAATGCACATATATATATATATATATATTGCTCGCTTAGATATTATATGCATATCATAAGTTTGTTAACGTTAAACTCTCCCTATCGAGAGGCACTATATTACCGATATTGGTTTAGCAGTGTCGATATGCAGCAGTCGGCACATTTGTATCTATGCGTTGAATTTAAATTGCTATATATAGATTTGTAGTTTCTACTAGTATACACTATACGCAATATCTTAAAATGTAGGGGAGAGAGAGAGAGAATATCGTTACCGGAAACTGGAACGTGAACTTTACGCAAAATACACTTCCTAAATCGACAATCGGGATTCCATTGTTTCATTAAGGATTACTAAAGCCTGCGGATTTTGTAACACTCTCTCTCTCTCTCTCTCTCTCCATTCTCAACTTTGGTGTGGGATAAACATTTTGAAAAGAAACAAATCGTTACATCGATTTAGTGAGCGCGCTAGAGAAAGCAAACACTTTATACTCAACTACATTTCCCCCCCCCCCTCATTCTTGTTTTCCCTCTTTTCCCTCTCAAAAAAAAAAGTCCATATCTATACATACAGGTTGGCGTTGAGCCCAAATATATAAACTTTGCAACTTTTATAAGCCAATATTCCTTTCATATCACTGACCTTTAAATTGAACATATTCTATTTATACGGATATTTAATTCAATTTTTTCATAAGCGTATTTCGAGTTTCTATTTTGAGATAACAAATGATATATACAAAAACTAATATATTATATTTAAATTTATTCATTCAGTTGATAGTTGAAATTTTTATAATGTCGAGTCTTATAGAAATATTTGTTTTGTCTGACTATAATTGGGTTTTACTACTTACGAATACTAGTAATAGAATTGAGATATTTTAATATTATGTGTCTGATTGAAAAGGTGTTTTATCTACTTAAAATAAAAAGTTAACAAACAATAATTATAAAATTATAGGAAATTAATAAAATATACACAAAACTGTTTTGGAATTTTTAATCATTTTTCTCTGATTAAAACAATAATTTACTATTAAAAACGTAATTAATAAATATAACTACAAAATTGCAGAAAAATTTTAACGATTTGTCTTACTAAAACAGTATTTTACTACTGAGATCGTAATAAATAACTTGTCACTGAAAAATGCGGGAATTCATAAACTTTAGTCTGACTAAAACGGTGTTTTACTACTGAAATTAAAATTGCAGAAAATTGTCACAATTTTTCTGACTAAAACAGAATTTTACTACTGTAATAAAAAATAATAAATATAGTAACTCCAAAATTGCAGAAAATTCTATTTGTCTGACTAAAACGGTATTTTACTACTGCGAGATTTAAATAAATAAACTTGTCACTTTAAAAAAGAATTCCTAACATTTTGTCTGACTAAAACGGTTTTTACTACTAAAATTAAAATTAATAATTATCTATTCCAAAAATTGCAGAAAATAACAATATTTTGTTTGACTAAAACGGTTTTTACTACTAAAATAAAAATTATAAATTAGTTAGTAAAATTATTGTAGGAAATTATATAAAGTTACATGTCTGACTAAAACT